GCCCCAGCGGCGCGGCAGGCCGCGGCGGCGGCACGTGAGACGTCGGAGGGGCCCGCGGGGCCCCCTCGCCGCGCGCCGGCGGGGTGCCCCGCGGGCGCCGCACGGAGGCCGGCCGCGCAGAGGGGCCGCTCCCGCGGAGGGCGGCCGCTCCCGCGGCGGGGCCGAGGGAGGCGCGGGCCGGCGGCGGCAGTCACCGACGGGAACGACGTCGTGCGAGGCCAAGAAGCAGAAGACGTGGCCAGGACGACGGTGTGTGGACTGGAAGTGTCCACACGTGCCTCGCCAAGACCTTGAGTCTTTGAAGTGTACGTCGGACCAAAATGCATACGCACCCTCCTTCCCCTGAATTCAAAGTTGACGGTTTTAGGCGGTAGGCCAAAGGCCAGGGACAAATTGTGGACACTTCATTTTGGGGTTTGGGGGGGAGGGGTGCGAAGTAAGGGCATTTCGGAGTTGTGGTTGTTATCCTGTTGCATCGCCTTCCCGCCATGGGTGTGGGCACTTGTTGTCCGGGCACTAGCATCCGGACAGGATAAATCAGGGATCTATGAGACCCGGCGATGCGGAGAAGTGGCACCAACATGCAGGCGAAGCCAGGACGACAACAAATTCGGGTAAGGATCGATCGAGAATCTCTGAGACCTGGCGGCTCTGGAGGATGTCTCGGGCACTGCGGCCTTCCCAGAGCGTTCCACGACGCTCTGAGAGCGTTCCAGAACGCTCTGGAACGGGTTTACCCTCGTCGCAGCCCCGTCCGAAAGTATCCGCCGCCCCCTGTTGGCTTGCCACACGTGCCATTTATGTGCACGGCGTGCTGACTGTTAGGTAGGTGTTGTTTCTTCTTCAAGGTTTCCAGTCGGCCTTCGGCCCAACCCGCAGGCCACCCAGAAGGACGCGCAAAGGCGCGCAAGGGCGCGCAAAAGCGCGCAAGGAGGGGGAACAATTGAAATCTCGCCTCCAAGACGGCCCAGATTGTTCCAAGATGGGCTCAAAAATGCCTCCAAGACGGTCAAGAGTGTCCCAAGAAAGCCTGAGATGGCCCCAAGACGCCTCCAAGACGGCCAAAGATACCCTCCAGACGGCCCCTAGACACCCCAAGAGGGCTCCAAGAGGAACTCCAGGAGTCAAAATCATTGCTGTTTCTGAAGTTTTCCTTTGATTTTAGCGGTCTGGCCTTCTCGAGCTTCCGACGCTCCAAAACGGCCGCATTGGCACCCAAGATCGCCGCAAGACGGTCCAAGAGATCCCCAAGAGGCCCGCAAGACCCCCAAGACTGCCCAGAGAGGGCTCCCCAACACGGCCTCCGAGGCCATGAGGCCCTTCAGAGGGCCCCAAGAGGCCTCAGGAGTCCTCATCCTCATAAGAGGCCCCAGGAGGCCTTCAAGGGGCCTCCCAGGCCTCAAGAGGCCTCCTCTTCTTCTTCTTCCTCCTCCTCCTACGGCTGCGGTGCACATATCCCAATGGCCTCGCCAGGCTGATGCCCAACGTCTGGCCGCGTGGGCGCTTCCAAAAGACAGGGGGCGGCCGTGATTCGCCGCAGGAGTCTTCGATAAAAACAGCTTGGACAAATAGTAACAGATGTCTGAACGGCCCACCACCGCGGGAGGCCCCCACACTGCGCAAATAGTACAAAGGGCAGCGGAACTATAAGCGAACCGGGAGCGCCGCGTGTGTGGAGGAGCCCACGGGCCCGGGGGAGGAGCCCACGGGCACCGGCTGGGGGTCACCATATACCGAGGGGGAGGATACAGGGCAGCTTCTACAACATAACATGCTTAAACATATGTGACTTTTTTTTTTAAAAAAAAAGAAAAAAAACTAATGAATGAAAAATATGCATGAACTCATCGTTGTTTTTAATACTAAATCCCTGCATTTTAATAATGACCCGCACGCGGAGCATGTATAAAAAACGGCACTGGCATCCATCTCTCGCCGCCGGGAGTGCTGATCCTCGCCCCTGAGACAGGGCGGGGGGGATCCTTCATTTGTCCGCCACCGTGCCGCTGGGTACGGGGGCCCGGAGCCGAAATTGCCAACTCTCCTGGAGCTTGGCGCGTCTTGTCGTGGCTTTACGCGCGACTCTTTCAAAGCCAAGACGGCCCCAAGACGGGCCAAGAGGGCTCCAAGAGACCCCCGGAAACGGTCCAGGAGGGCCAGGGGTCGCCGAACGATCGCTCCAAGACGCTCAATATGGCCCACACACGGCCCAAGATACCTCCAAGAGGCCTCCAAGACAAGAGGCCTCCCAAGAGGACCCCAAGAAGCCAAGGCCATTGATGTGTCTCAGGTTTTTTAGCGTTTGGCATTCTCGCCGTTTCGGCTTCCCGACACTCCCAGACGGCCCCAGAGGCAACACAGATCGGCCCAAGGGCCTCAGCCCCAAAACGGCCCAACAGGGCGCCAAAATGGCCCGAGAGGCGACCGAGACGGACCAAGATGCCCAAATGACGGCCCCAAGAGGGGGCCCAGATGGGAAACCCAAGCGAACATTCCGAGCCATCGGCCCCGAGGGGCCCCCAGGAGGGCCCAAGAGGCCCGCAAGAGGCCTGGAAGAGGCCTCAAACGGCCCTCAAGAGGCCCCCAAGAGGCCCCCAAGAGACCCCCAAGAGGCCCCCAAGAGGCCCCAAAGCTGCCCCCAAGAGGCCCCTGAGAGCGCTCTGGAGTGACCCCAAGAAGCATCACTGAGAACTCTGACCCGCAACCCACGCACGGTGTCGAGATGGGCTGAAGGCCACTAGATCCGCCGCCCCCTGTTGGCTTGCCACAGGGGTGCTCGGCGTGCCTGATGTTCTGAAAAGGTCTTTGGTTTTCTAAAGACTCCCCCTGTGGCTTCAGCACAGCGCGCCGGCCACCAGGAAAGGGTGGTTGCCAAGGATTTTCCTGCTCCAGGTGGCTCCAAGATGGCCCACGATGGCCTCCAAGACGGCCCCCGAGTTCGCCCAAGATGGTCCAAGAGGGTCAAAGATGCCTTCAAGTTCGCCCAAGAAGCCTCACAGACGGCCCAAGACGGCCTAAGACGGCCCAAGAGTCCCCCAAGAGGCCTTGAAGACGGCTCAAAAGGCCTCTCAGAGGTCCTCCAGGAGGGCCCGAAGAGGCCAAACTCATTGAGTGTCCTCACGTTTTTGAAAGATGTTGCCTTTTGCTACTTTTCGGCCTTCCGACGGCCCAAGACTGCCCAAGAGGCCCCCAAGATCGCCCAAAAATTGTCTCAAAGGCCTCGAAGATGGCCCCAGGACGGCACACGAGGCCTCCAAGACGGCACCAAGAGGGCCCCAAGACGGCCCAAGAGGCCTCCAAGACGGAATCCGATGGCGTCAGACGAGCCAGGAACGCCCTAACGGCCAAAGCGGCTCCCAGCAAGCCCCCAAAGGCTCCCAAGAGGCCCAAAGAGGCCCTCAAGAGGCCTCCAAGAAGTCCCCAGGAAGCACCAAGGAGACCCAAGTGCCCCAAGAGGCTTCCAAGAGACGTTCTCCTCCTTCTTCTCCTCCTCCTCCTTCCTCATTCCTCCTTCTCCTGCTTCTACTCCGTCGTCCTTCTCCACATTCTCCGAATTCCTCACGTGTTCGCCGAAAGGTTCCAACGACAGCTCGGGGAACACATGGTCTGGTAGCTCTAGCCCAACTTTCGGCCACATGGCGCTTCCAAACATGCAGGAGGCGGCGGTGATTCGCCGTAAGCGTCTTCGATAATTTTGGGGGGAAGCATCGAACTGGAATCGGCGGTGCATCGCCGAAGATCGGCGATGAGCCAGCGACGGCAAATCCGCACGTTCCCGGGCGGGGTGGGCGACGCACCGGGGCCCATCGGCGATGAGCGGACGATTGGGGTCGACGCTCTCTCCCATCCATGGGCCTACCTCCCTGAGATTGAACGTGCCCAACGTCACGAACAGACTGCAAGATCGTAAGACATCACGACCGGCGCCCTGGACCCAACCTTTCAGCTGCGCTCTTCGAGCCGGGTCGATCCGTGAGGGCCCCGCAGCCCAGAGTCTGGCGAAAACGTCCGGTGCGCAGCGACGGCCACGCCCAGATCTCCGGGATCCGCTCGTGGCGTGGCCCACGAGCGGCGCGCACATCCGTGGCCGCGCCCAGCGCTCCCCCACCGCCGCAGCCGTCTGCCTCAGAGGCCCCACCGTGCCAGCAGCACGCCTGTCGCACTGTGCACGCCCCGAATCCAGGAGAGAAGTCGTTTTGGGGGCCTCGGCCCGCGAGGCCGCGGAGACAGACGATGCTCCCGCCCACGGGTCGCCCCTGACGGCGCCCAGCGGCGACGCGCGCGGGAGCTGGCGAGGGCCTCGGCGGCGGCGGCGGCGGATGGCGCGCGCACCCGACCCCCCTGGCCAAAAGGTCGCGCGGCCACTCTTCTGGGCCTCCTCGGTCGCGGCGCCTCGGAGGGCTCTTTTTTGGGGGGGAGGGCATCGTGTGACATCAGGGGTTCTTCGGGGAACCTCGGGGGTCCCTCGGAGGTCCCTCGGGTCCCTCGGGGTAACTACCTCGGGGGCCCTCGGGGGTCCCTCGGGGGACCTCTGGATCTCTCGGAGCCCTCCGGGGATCTCGGGAGTGAGGTCCTCCAGGGGTCCTTGGGGGGCCTCGGGGGTCCTCGGGAGTTGCTCGGATGGCCTCGAGGCACCTCGATCGAGGCCCAGGCGGCGTGAAAACACACCGGGTGGCGTCGTCGCCCAGTTTCGGGCCCTGGGACCTTCGCAGATCGAACTGGCTTCACGGATCCCCGAATCTCGGCCGAGAGCTCTGCCCATCGCGTGTCACGACGTCGGCATTTTCCACGACGTCCGCCCGCAAGTCTGTCTCGAGGCTGTCGTCAGTCGTCCTGGCGCTAAAAGTCCTCTGTCAAGAGCGCCAGCCCTGTATGGAGGGCGGGAATCATGGCCTGGAGCTTCGGCCGCCTGCGTAAAATCCAGAAGCCTCCATTGACGCAGGAGGGGAACGTGGCACCACGCCTCCCCTCCATTCCCCTCTCCTCTCCCCTCTCCCCTCCCCCCGCGCTCCCCGACCCCCGAACGCTCATTGCTGCGAGAGGCGACAGTATTCCTGACGCGGGGCCGGTCGCTTAAAATTCGCCACAGCAGCTGTGGCAGCGGCTCCCGCAAGACTATGAGGGAAACCCTGGAGGCCTCGCGTGGCGGTGTGAGACCCCGTGTGCGTAGAGTCCACGTCGGTTTGACACTGGATATACGCAAAATTCCAGTCGGACTTGCGTCGGAGCATCGCCGCGCGAACGTCGGTCGTCCCATAGCTGACGTGGCGGACGTGTGGAGTAGAGAATACAGCTATTGCGCGCCGCGCGAGGTCTACAGGTCTTCCCTCAAAAACAATGTCGTATCAGCCGTCCCTGCCCCCGCCCCCGCCGCCGGCAGGCCTATCGTGGCTGATGCGCATGAGCTCCGAACGGAGCACGGCGTTCTCGTGCTCCAGCGAGGCGATGCGGCTGGCGATCGTCTGCTGCTCGCGGTAGGCGAGACAGGCGAGCACGTGCGCCGGAACGGGCGGCCCAAGCAGCTCCTCGGGCTCTCGGAGCAGCTGCAGAGGCAGCTGCCTCAGCAGCTGCACTGCCGCGTCCTCGGCCTCGGCCCACTCGCTGCCGTGCAGCAGGTTCACCTTGGCATCGGTAAGCCACTCCCGCAGAGTCCTCACGACATCCTCAATCAGCTCCACTTCCACCGAGTGCCACGCGAGCACGGGCCAAATCTGCCGAGCCAGCGACCACACGCTCCCAGGGCTCTGCTCCACCATCGCCGCCAGGTCCGAGAGCGCTCGCCTGGCTGCAAGCGTCAAGCAAGCAGCGTTATGCGTCCGCACCTCTCTGAGAAGGCACAAAGGAAATCGCACATCGGGCAATCCTCCCGATGGCTGGAACAGCACCCGGAACAGCAGTCGCGCCGTTTCGCTCACCTCCTGCGTGTTGGGCTCCGCGCCCGCTACCGCACGCACCAGAGCAGCGCGCAGCTCCGGCACAGCGTAGTCAAAGCAAGTGCCCCACTCCGATCCGCGCTCTGACCCGTGGCTCTCTGTCGCGATCTGCTGCAGCACCCTCTCCAGCATCGTCCTGAGGCTTTGCCTGCCGCCGTGGCCTCCGGACCTCCCAAAGCCTAGGGCACCCAGGAGCGTCCACATTCTCCCTGGCGGGCCACAACATCATCAAGACCAGCCTGTCCGACTGGCCTGGTCAGGTTCCGTCTGGATGCTCCTGGGCGCCCTTTGGATTGATGGTCCAGGGGACGCGCGCCTGTCGCTCACCACCCCTGTCAGGATGACGTCGGCGGCGTCAGCGCTGCCCTCACGACTCTCGCAGGCTCCCCACGAGGACAGCACCCGGCCTTAGCTGCCCCGAAACGCAACCCGAAGCGTGTTGACACTGAGCTCAACACGTAGACCGAAAACGTAGGTCTGGCGCGAAAGGTTCGCCAAAACGTGGCCCAACACGCTGAACCAACACGCACTGTGTTTACACGGACGTTTTGAATACGGCACGTGTTGCGTTTCTAGACGTGCGTATTAGGGCAGATAGGAAGAAACCAAACAGGTACCGATGCCGCTACTCCACGGACCTCTCCTGGGGTGCGTTCTGACCACCGTTTCGAGGCGACTTCCAGCGGTGGCGACGAGGGCCTCCCAGGAGGCCCAAAAGCAGGAAAGCGAGGGAAGGATATAGCGCCATGGGCATCTCTCTTCCTCCTACGAAGCTGAGCATCCGGCTCAGCACCACCGCGGCTGCCGCTGGCGGCACCAGGGGCCTGGCGAGGGTGTCGAGCCCCAACGGTGCTGCGCCAGCCTCACCCGTGCCCCGGGCGCCGCCGGCGCCGAAGAGGCCACGCGTGCAGGCCTCGTGCGAGGCGGCCTGCGCCGGGTCTGGCGCGCTGGCGATGCCCCGCTCGAAGATGTCCACGGCGAGCCGCGTGCCCGCGAAGACCTCGTCCTCGAGCTCCGGGCTCCCATCCATCTGGCCCGCTGCTACCCAGAAAACTTACACGCAACACGTAGCGTATTGATACGGAGCTCGACACGTAGACTGGACACGTACGTCTTGAACACGGACGTTTTGAACACGGCACGTGTTACGTTTCAAAACGTGCGTATCAGAGCAGCTAAGCAGAGGAAAAGGTACCCAGACCACTAGCCTCTGCCCGTCTTGCCCTTCCTGGGGCCTCCTTGGAGCCCCTCGTCGCAGCCGCTGGAAGTTGCCTCGAGATCCTGATCAGAATGCCCCCCAGGGGTCTGGGGAGTAGCGGCATCGCAGCCTGTTTGGTTCCCCCATCCGTGGCCCGCTCACGGTCGGAAACCTTTGCATATCTAGCGTGTCGCGCGGCGGCCCTGGCGACACGCAAGCGGATATAGCGTGTCGCTCCGCTCCGCGGGATGGGAGGCTGGGAGGGGCTCGGGACATGAGTGATAAGCAATACAGAGAACCCCTAATCCATTAGGAGGGCCAACGCCATGGTGGATAGGAGGATTTTCTGCAAAAGTATCAGACCAAACCGCCCAGGTTTATTGACCCTGATGCGAGGGCGAGGACCTCAGTGAGGCCGCAGCGTCTTCATCGTGTTGTGAAGGTTAGGGGTTCTCTTGTTCTTGATGCGTGGGGACTCGGGGGCTGGAAAGCCTAGAGCGTGTCGCGCAACAGCGTGGTGGGGGCAGAACCGGCGGGGCGATTGGCCCAAGCGCAAATTCCTGGCCGTAATCTGCGTTTGAGCTGGGGTGGCGGTCTGGGCGGTCACACTAGCCGCGACGAGCTGATAGGCGGTGCACCCATGCCCTGTGGATACCGCGCACTAATGCTCGGGAAGCGTGGCGGTGCTCCATACCGTGACATGAGGTGGCCACGAGCATTGGCGCTCACAAGTTCGATGCTGATAAGAAGCGCCGCGATGGTAACCCTGATCGCCGCCGTAGTGGCCATATGAGCCCGTCGCTGTCCATGAACACTACAACGCGTGAACATCAGTTTCATTGGGCCTGTGGCCACCACAGCTTCAATAAACAACTAATAGTCTGTGGGCACCGCGTGTGGGACACTACAGTGCCTGTGACAACATAAGCGCACAACAAGGTACACGCCTATGAACACAAGTGTTGAAGAGCACTAGAGGGAACGAAGGAAATGTGACGCCAGCATTCACCATAAAGCAACGCGTACGGATAACTCAGGGCATGTAGGCACCATTATCTTTTTGAACACCTCAGCGTCCATGATAACCACACGGCCTACATATGAGCACAACACAGCATGTGAGCACGAAGGAACTGTGGATCCATACGTTACCCAATAAGGGCCCTCATGGAGAGGCGCGAGGGCTCTGGCTCGCAACGGGGCCATGCCGAATATCAGGGCATGGTGTTCTCGCTTCCTGCTTCCTCTACCCGTACACATAGCCATCGATATCCTGAATATGAACATGCTGACGTCTCATTTGTACTTCTGCCGCCTTCCGCTGGCCGTCCGCCAGCCTCAGCTGGTGGAACCACAGCCAACTTACTTCCGCTGGCCTCCCGCCGAGGGCGAGACGAGCCGGGGACGAGGCTGTTTCTGGGGCGATCCGCCCGAGTATCACAAACACCTTCCATTGGAAAACCTCGGCTCCTCGCACACCGACGCCGCGGCCGCAGCGGCGGCCGCCAGCCGGAAGCACAGTGGCGGCACCACAGCCGTCGTGGGCTCCACGAAGCGGAGCAGCAACCGCAGGGCGGGCAGACGGAGGAGGAAGAAAGCCTCGTGGGCGTCGAACAGCCGCACTGCGAATGCGTGCGAGGTGCTGCAATCCTCCGCCTCCGCCAGCAAGCAGGCGCCGGGCTCCAGCGGCTCCTCTGCTGATGCGGAGGCGCCTCCGGTGACGGAGGAGAGCCAATTGCCGATGTTGCCAACGTTCGTCTTGATGTGCCCCACCAGGGTCTCGTGCATGTCGGGTCGCACCTCTAGCACCGTCAGGCCAGCCATCGGCGCCACCAGGAACTCTGGCGACAGGCGCAGGTGGTGCCTGGGCAGCCCCAGGAGCAGCTGCCTCAACTCGGAGAGCACCCGGTCCTGGGCGTCTCCATCGAACTGCGCCGACGCTGCAGCCAGCGCCCCAGCCACCTCCAGCAGCTCCTCTCTTGCACGGGGTGCCCCGAGTCGCCAGGAGCGGACAGCGGCGCTCAGCAGCAGGGGGGCGTCGAGGTAACTCGCGGCGTCCAGGATGCTCTGCACGTCGCTCACCGTCTGCACAGGCCACGGATCTCCGACGGAGGCGCCGGGTCTGGCAGACAGCCAGGAGAGAGAGAGGGCGAAGGCGTGATGGCCCCCAGGGAACTCCGCGAAGCGGTGCGCGGGGCAGCCGTTGCCCCCGCCGTCCGCCCAGTCGTGCCGGAAGGCCGACTCGAAGTAGCCGCACTTGGCACTCAGCGTGGACGGCTCCGCACAGTAGGAGGTGCCGTCGAACTCGACCTGGACACCTCCGTCGGGCGCCTCCCACGTGGGCGCGGGGGCGACGTGCAGGACCGGGACGGCACTCGACAGCAGTTTCAAGGGCCTCTTCTTCTGCTCGAGCACCTCCTCACGACTCTGCGGCTGCAGCATGGCCCGACTTCTGCGAACCACGAAGCCACCGAAGCCCAGCCTCAGGCACTCCTCGCGGCATGCCGCGAGCTCCTCTGGAGTAGCCGCAGGCATCTCCGAGCCTCGGGCTGTCTCGTCCGCGTCCTCTCCTGGAAACTCCTGCCATCCAGAAGCTGGTACACACGAGACATCGCTGCTGCCAGCAGCGCCGTGCATTCGGGGCAGCACGGCAGGCGGCAGCGTGCAGTCGCAAAGGAACTTCGGGAGCGTAATGCTGCGGGGTCCTCTGGCGCGAGAGCACGACCCATTTTGGAAGCCTGCTTTGCTGGGATGGCACGACGACGGACGGGGAGGCGGTTTGCTGCATTGCAACAAAGAAACATTCCTTTCGAAGATGAAATGCTGATGTATCACGGTACAAAGGCCGAGGCAGACAGCATTGTGAGAGGTGCATGCGCAAACATATTTATACCAGCATCTATCCACATATGTACATGAATACTGAGAAATTGAGCGAGGAAGAAAGAAACAGACAAAGAGAACGAGACAGACAACACGAACACCCAAGACAGAGAGAAAGAGAGATTGACTATTAACTTCATCTCATGATTATGTGGCCGCGGTTCCTTCGAACGACGTTGTGCACCCTGGGGTCCTCAATAAATCAGACGCGCCTCTGAGCGCGTGGCTATTTTTGTCCAATCTTGGGTTGGTTCACTGGCAAGCCCCAACGCTGTCCCCCGAACCACACACACTGATCCGAACTCAGTGCCTAATTACTCCAATGCGATGGGGATGCTTGTGCTACAGCCAAAAGTGATAGAACATTTGCGCGGTAGAGATGCAAGCCTCTTGTACACCCATGTCGAGGCCTTTCGATCGGGGCTGGCAGTCGAGAATGGTTAAGGATGAGGTGAGGAGACAAAAATGCAAAGGTGCCGTTGGGACTCATTACCCGTTTCGACTGTATGATCCTACTGTGAGAAGCTGGAAGTCGAAGCTGAGGAGGAGGCATGAGGAGGATGAGGATGAGGAAAGCAGAGAGGAAGGAGTGATGCGGGTTGTCAAGTGGGGGGCGCATCCTCCATGTCCTCCTCCTCCTCCTCCTGCTCCTCCTCCTCCTCGTCCTCCTTCTCCTCCTCTCCCTCCTCATCCTCCTTGTCCTCTTCTTCTTCGATCTTCGCCACCCCCCTTCATCTTCACCTCATCCTTCGTCGGGCCACCCTTGCGCGGCAATATCTGGACTGTATTGAGGCCCCAGTGAGCCCGTGTTGGGACCATCTTGGGATCATCTCGTGGCCTCTTTTGTGTTACACAAAAACGATTAGGGGACCTCGGTTGCTCTTGTGTGGCCGTCTTGGAGCAATCCCAGGACACCTCGGGGAGCTTGCGCGTCATCTTGAGCGGCCGTCGGGCACTCCAGGGTTTTTTCAGGGGGGACGCCCCCTCCTGGCCATTCCGTGGCCAATCCGAATCTACCTTGGAACCCTCTTGAGGTCATCCTTGGTTATGTTGACCGCGCTTTGGCTACTTGGGGGCTCACGCCTGAGCCTGTTTTACCTTAGTGTGACGGATTGCCTCTCGCTCGCAGAATTCGCAGTTGCTAATCGCTTGGCTCGTCTTTTGACTATGCGTTCGCTCGGCTGTGTAGTGCTCGACGTCCCTGTGACCATGACTCGAGCTCACGTTGCGGCCTCCATTGCCTTGGTGAGTGGACTTGCCAGCACAGCATCCACGCCAGCTCATCGGGCAGCAGCTGTCTAAACCCCACGTCGCTCGAAGAGGCCACATGGGGGCCACGGCTCACCGAGCATAATTAGGGGTGGGGCGCGTAACGTCGGGCCGACCGCGCAAACGAGCGCGCAGGACGCCTCGCCGCAGGGGCAGGCCATGGCCAACTGCACCGAGGCCCCACAAGCCACGCTGCACACGACCACGGGGTGACGCTTTCCAACACTCAAAGCACACTTGGCACGAGGGGGACACCAGAGGGCCGCAGGTTGCAGGCAGTGGGCACCGGAGCCGAAGCCCAAAGCCTCGCCAGCTCGAAAAGGCCAGAATGGCGCCACGGCCCACCGAATCATGTGTCCAAAACCGATCCGTCTGAAGGGGCCGAGCGGCCAAGGGCCACGCAGAACCCCGACGAAGCGCCCAACCTCGAACACCCACCAGGGACTGCTAGATGTGGCCCACGGGCGCGCGAAAAGACAGCCCAGACCAAAGGGCCATGCGAGGGGGTGGGGGGGCACGTCCGCCCGCTAGAGAGGACTGGTTGGGACGAGGCCGGCGCCCCCGAAGACGGCCTCGAGCAAGGCGCGGCTGGTGGCACGCGCTCCTGCTCCCTTGCTCGACAACTAATGCGACAGTGCTGGCGCCCCTCACTGCGGCACACACCCCTCCAACCCCCGGGACATTCTGGGATGGACAGGGCCCCCTTTAATAAAACGTGGCTTGGTGAAAACGACCTCGGAGCCAAACCTGCCGGGCGCAAGCCTGGAAGATGACGGCCGCGGCGCCCTCTCGAGAACTCAGGATTGACAATTCACGAATCGACGGGTCAGTGTGGGGGCTCTGCCCCCCCCGGGACAAATCCCCTGGAAGCCTCGGAGGCCTGCGCGGGCCCGCCCCCCCCCCTCCTCCCTGTCGAAAGGACGCGCCGCGAGCCGAGGGCACGGCGAGCCGCGGCAGACGCACCGCCCGAGTCTCGGTGATTTTTCGTCCGGGTGTGCAGCACCCTCCTGGGGCGCACGGGAGCATACCAGTGCTACGCCTCCTCCTCGGAGGCGCGCGTCCGACCCGAACATGTAGCACAAACATATTCTAGTGCTTATATATATATATATATATATATATATAATGTAATATATTATATATATTATTATATATATATATAAAAAAATGATCGCCCCCCCCCCACGCCCCCCAACGATCATCTTTCTCTTCCTCTTCCTGCTAATCTTCCTCCTGCACCCTCTCATGATACGCTTTTCCCTTCTCTCCGTCATAACCCTGCCTCCACCCACATCCCCTCCCCCTCAGAATTCCGTTTGAATGATCGTAAATGTTTGCGTTCCTCATTATTATCCTCACGCTCCTCCATCATCATGTCTTCGTTGTGAGTTCTACCGCAAGCCCCAATGGGAGACGTTGCATGCCGCTCCTCTCAACAGTAAGTTGCTCCATATGGAGCTTCACCGACGGCCTCAGTGGCAGGGCCCTCATGCCTCCGCCCCATTGGGAGGAGGACGCTGAGGGCGAGAGGATTCGGATGTGGAAAAAAGAAAGTGAGGGGGAGGAGGAGGAGGAGGAGCGGAGGTAAACGGAGAAACGACGACGACAATGCTCATGATGATGATGATGATGATGATGATGATGATGATGATGATGATGCTGATGATGATGATGATGATGATGATGATGATGGCGAGGACAAGTACGAGTACGAGCACGCGTGCGAACGTAATCGCAATGACGATGGCGACGACAATGGCGACGATGAAGATGATGAGCACGATGACGATCATGATAAAAATGATGATGAGAGACGGAGGACGAGCTTCACGCTCCGCGCACATCCTTTCATCATGTACTTAATTGTGTTCGTTTGGATGATGACGTTGCCGATGTTTCTTCTTTCGGCAGGCTCCTCCTATAGCCGTTTTTGGATTCAAGCTTTACGTGGCGCGCCACCCACTACGACCACCGCCGTCAGCACAGACCAGCCATGGTGCTTCACTGTGATAACAAAGCGTGCACTTGGGGATCCACGGGCAAGCCGTCTATCCTGAACAAACCTGGTTTCTGCGCTCTCTGCCAAGACTCCACCGCCACGGGAGCGACGACCGGCCACCGACGCGGAGCGGTGCTGCGCAAGCTGGCCGCGCACCCGACTCAGAAGCAGGACCCTGAGTTTGCAACCCGCGACCATGCCCAGAAACATATCTACATCAATAGCGATAGGTTCACCAGCACAACAGACACAAGCAGCTTCATGTATAAAAGAACCATATATAGCACCCCGCAATTGCGGATAAGAGTGAGGGGGCGGGCGCGGGCGACGCGGGCGTCGTCAAGCCGGCGGACCTCGTGGCCCCCACCTTCCCTGTCGATGGCGCTCTCCCTCCTCCTCCTCCTCCTCCTCCTCCTCCTCCTCCTCCTCCTCCTCCGCCTCCTCCTCCTCCTCCTCCTCTTCCTCGTCCTCGTCCTCGTCCTCATCGTCATCGTCGTCCTCCTCCTCCACCTCGTCCTCCTCGTCCTCCTCTTCTTCCTCGTCCTCCCTCTCCCCCCCTCGTCCTTCCATCATCGTCCTCCCATTGTCGTCATGTTCCTCCTCGTCGTCCTCCTCCTCTTCCCCCCCTCCCGATCCTCCCCCCTCCTCCTTTTTGTCGTCGTCGTCGACGTCGTCGTCGTCGTCGTCGTCCCCTTCCTCCCCCTCCTCCTCCTCCTCCTCCTCTCCTCTTCCTCCTCCTCCTCCTCCTCCTCGTCCTCCTGCAAAAGCAGCCCGCCGCAGGCGCCGAAAAAATTGGTTTGTACACTGAACGTGGTTTGGGTCGCTGGTGGGCCGCGGGTTCTCACCAGGAACGAATGCACAAGATGCCCGCCGCAGGCGCCGAAAAATTTGGTTTGTACCCTGAACGTGGTCGCGGGTGGGCTGCGGTCTCTCCACCTAGAACGAATGGAAAAGATGCCCGCCGCAGGCGCCGAAAAATGTGGTTTGTACCCTGAACGTGGTTTGGGTCGCGGGTTGGTCGCGAGTTGGTCGCGGGGTGGGTCGCGGGCTCTCCACCTGGAAGGAATGCAAAAAAAGCCCGCCGCAGGCGCCGAAAATGTTGGTTTGTACCTTGAACGTGGTTTGGGTCGCGGGTGGGTCGCGGGTGGGTCGCGGGGTGGGTCGCGGGTGGGTCGCGGGTGGGTCGCGGGTGGGTCGCGGGTGGGTCGCGGGTGGGTCGCGGGTGGGCCGGGGCGGGTCGCGGGGTGGGTCGCGGGTGGGTCGCGGGTGGGTCGCGGGTGGGTCGCGGGGTGGGTCGTGGGGTGGGTCGCGGGGTGGGTCGCGGGTGGGTCGCGGGTGGGTCGCGGGTGGGTCGCGGGGTGGGTCGCGGGATGGGTCGCGGGGTGGGTCGCGGGGTGGGTCGCGGGTGGGTCGCGGGTGGGTCGCGGGTGGGTCGCGGGTGGGTCGCGGGGTGGGTCGCCGGTGGGTCGCGGGGCGGGTGGCGGGTGGGACGACGACAACAAATAACAACAACAACAACAACAACAACAACAACAACAACAACAACAACAACAA